TCGAAAATGGGCATTTGAATCAGATAATTAGTTGCCGAATTCTGTAATTGTTGCGCACATTTTTAAATTCGCAAATCATTTCCTGCTGGGGTAATGTTACCCCAGCCAGACCGTTTTCTTTCTAATGGGATTATTTAAATAATTACTAGCTATAAAATTAGTTGTCTAGATGAAGTAAATGTTGTGCCTTGTTTTGTATTTGTTCTTTCATCGGTTGCGAAGTTTTCGAGATTTTGCTGGGGTAACGTTTTTGGTTTTGCTAGATCTTTGAAATGGTTAAGCGGATTCTATCATATTTTGTACATGGCTTCTTAGGAATAAGTTTAAATATGTTGTGCAATAAAAAACCATGATAATACATAGCTTAAAAGTAATTTCATTAAATAGAAAAACAATTAAATTGGTCCCAGCACTCTCAATAAGAGCTTTAGAGCTCTTATTGAGAGTGCTGCTGACTTACTTTAAACGTCATTTTAAAGCTTGTAACTGCCTTTAAATGTATGTGAAGTTTCATTAGTGTCATTAACATCTGGCCTGGGTACCGCACACGAAATACCGCTCTATAAAACATAAAAACTAGATTTAAAATATTTACAATAAATTATAACAATTAAACAATGTTTGAACACTGAATTAGGCCTTAAGAATATAGAAATCTTAAATTTTAAATACGATACATTATTTCTTAAACAATAAACCGGCTGATGGAAACCAATAAAATTAATATTGAATACTGTGCATCATTGAGATCATTTTCAGAGTAAAATAAAATTAATTAATATTTATTATTTTGTATAGCTCACTAATCAAATAATACGTTAATCATAACTTGTCATTTACCATTAAATCTTTTCCTTACATGCATGCATGCTTTCCTTTCATAATCCATGTTTAGTGGTCCCGTCTCATTACTTAGTAAAACTGCAAAAGTACAAGAATATTTTTTTTTTCTTACCAACAAATCTCTATTCAAATTTAAGAAATGCGTCAAAACTCAAACTATAACTGTCTACATAAAAACTTTTCACACTGATCTAAAATATAATTTAAACTGTTTGTTATTTACTTGTCGAAAATAATTGATTTCATTTTGTCTATAAAACCACGCAAAATATTATTACGTATGCAATATTCTGTCTTTAACGAGACCACTGCAATCATAACTTATACACAAGAAACAAGTGAAATGACTACAACAGTAACTTATCACAATTATAAAAAAATATACAATAATTACTTAAAACTTAAAACAGTATGTCGGTTTCAGAATTCATTATTTTGTTATGCTTATCATTTAATCCGAAAAATTAATAACATCGACATGACAGGTAAGGACCTGACCGCTGATCAAGTCTCTGTTAAACTGTCAAATAACGTCTTCCGCGACCGGTAACGGTATAACTATCAGAAACTTAATCAGAGTTAATAAAACAGGCTCTTATAGTCTAAGATCCCGCTGCAAAATCACTACGTTCATTAAATAGTGAGTCAAACAAATATTTTTACATACTTTTATGAATAGGAGAATACACTGATAACACGGCAGCCAGTCAAAAGTGGCCGCAAGTTATTTTAATTAAATTAATGTTAATAAATATTCAAAAAAAAAATCGTTCACGAGGTTCACGTATGTAAAAATGTTTGTTTGACTCACTACTTAATGAACGTAGTGATTTTGCAGCGGGATCTCGTACTATGATTGTTACAACCAAATTACGTCCAATATAAGTTACCTACATAGGCAGATTATCATAAAATATTGAAATTGAAATAAGTTATAAAAAGGACAAATACCAAACATACTATAGCCACTTTCAAAGTGTAATAAATAGGTCTATCTCATCGGTAAAACTCGTCAATAAAATATTAGAATATTTCGAAGTTAACATTAAAGTAAAAAGAACGAAATATTACTTCAGAACAGAAACATTATTAGTTTTCCAAAATAAATGAATCATTTAATTTCATCTTGACATCACATCTTTTGTCATAATGATAAGATACGTCATAAGTACATAACAGTAAGTACATATAAATTAGAAAGATATCTGTCAGGCATCATAATATACAATTATTCAAAAATTAAAATAGGTATAAGCGCACAACTATAATATAAATATAGTAATACATAAATACAACTTACACCTATATAATAAATTAATAATTCAAATGGCAACGAAATTTAAATGTTAATAATCGCTACTTTCTTTTATGTTATTCTAGAACCAGCTAGGCATCAGATCATTTACGAAATAAGTAGCAAAGCAGTGATTATATCATTTAATTTTATTACTTACAACGTGGAGACGAAAGTACGACAATCAATAGAAGTAATTTAGTACGTGTTCGTTTTACGTTAAAAGTAATCGAAACGATACTGCCTTCGACGCTCCGATTGGTTAGTTCATTGGTGCCGGCCAATCAGAGCGCCGAACGTGTACTCGTTTCGATTACTTCAAACGTGAAACAAACTTGTACTAAGGCCTCAGTTATGTCTTGTTCGGCCGACGCTAGTAATTTAGTCGAGTTGCGACTATTTAGTAGTTCTCTCTCACTTGCATTTTAGAACAGAAGCAGAGAGGACTAATGAATATTCGCTACTCGACTAAAGTACTAGCGTAGTGTGGTGAACAAGGCACTTTTCTACCGCACAATTTTTCCAGGAAGAAAGAGGTTTTCCATCTGCGGAAAGATGCAAGAGGAAATAGCCTCTGAAATCGCGTTTCATAGGATTTTTACCCAGGAAAAGTGCTATGAGACCAAGACAATGTTGCCTCGCTTGAAATGTTAGTCCAAAATGTCCTACTACCCCACTGACAGAATGTCCTGATGCCCCACCATCCACACTGTCTGGAGTCTACAATCAAGTTGTTTGTGTGCCTTGTTTTACTGGGCACCGTACACACTTGTTTGATGCTACCTTTTTTGGGTATGTTGAGTAAAATAGAGTGGTAAAACAATGACATACATTTTAGAAGATTAGAAATCCTACATTCATATGATCATCGTATAGTCGTCTCAACATCGCATTTAAAATGGGCGATAAATACTTATAAGACGCCTATAAGTATTTATCGCCCATTTTAACATTTACAAATATCACCCCTAATTAAACTATGGATGTGACGTTCTAAAATATTGACATCAAGATATTTGCTGTTAAAATTTCTTCTATACTTCGACTTTTATTCTTAATTTATACAACAACTATCTAAACATTGATTTATTTTTGCATGCAATCTATTCCTATGTTCTGATTGTGGTGTTCGCGAAGGTGAGGCAGCACCTTGCGCGAATACTATCACAGAATAGATATACGTGTAGACGAAGGAATTCCAGTACATTTGTTACTAATAAAAATAAGACACATTACCGCAATACATGAAAGGATTGAGTACCTACACGAAACATGCCCTAGTTCTATTTTGTATATAATATATTATATTGGATAAGCCGACCGGACGCGACGAAGACTGACAATTTCGCTTAATTTCTTTGCTAACATTGGCAGGTCTTTTACCTGTTAAAGAAACACACAGCTTAACTTTTTAAATACAATTATGTTAAGTTTTCAATTACACATATTCAAAGAAGACTATGAAGTCAGAATTTCTATTAAGTGGTTTTCTGAAATTAAAATTTAATTTCTACTGATATTAAATATTCAAATTGACTTACAATTTATAAATAAGGTGAGCAGTCTGTTGCTGAAGTATCGATCTTTCTTCTCTTTGTCTTACTCTCAAAAATCCAGTAATATAATTAATCTCTGCAAAAAATATACAATATATTATTATTACAGTGGCGAGTTATAAAAACTAAAGTTAAACTTAAATTATTTCGGTATAGAGGACTTACCTACAGTACTACTTATTGGAGAATTTACTCGACATCAAGTTATCCTTTGTTATTCTTAATCTTCATTTTTGTAATCTTGTAATATCCTCCATCATTGTGTCCATTTATTTAAACGTGCAATGCGAATCAAATTTATATGTTTTTAAATTTCCGAATTGCTACCTGAAATAGAATTTCATTAAACATTCTATTGTGACCGCACAGTGAAATTTAATTCATTCGCAAAACAACTTGCCATGAGGATATTTAACTAAAAGAAAGTACACAGTTCTAGATTATTTCTATTAGGTACTGTGAATTACGATACCGAAAATATCCTAACCCCGATAATAGATTAGATCTTTTTTTACCTAAGGTGGGAAATCTTCATGGATCCCCCTCGCTTTGATTAGAACCATTGCTAAGCAAATGCTGTATAACTCGACGCAATTATTTAATGTATGGTCGCCTAATACATCGAAGAAGTAATTGCAATGCACATTCCACATGTGTGCAGGAATATTGTGTGTAATATAGAATATATATTGCAAGAGAAGTTATAGTCAGTTTTAAAACTTAATAATGTGTTGGCTTCTATTTGCAGATACAAATTTAACATAAACTCCATAAAAAATGTGTAAGTATTATAAGTTTCTGTCATGTAACCAAATCAACTAACCAATAGATATTCTCTTAATGTTACGGTACAATAAATGGATACAAACATGTATATAGTATACTAAACATAAGAAAAAAAAAATGATATGCTTACCCAATAACAGATGAAAAATGTTACTCCATCGATTTTCTCAAGTTTGAGGATGACGTATAGACATACAAATTACCATTCAAAATTGTTATGTACATTATACCTCAATTGCAATGCACATTCCAACGATTTTACATTTAAAGCTCAAAGAAAAGTATAAGAAGCTGGAGTTTGAAATAAAAACCACTACAAATACCTACTATCTTATTCATAAAAACTTGCAAACCTATTGTAGCTACAGAATATTTCATCTACTTATTCATGCACGAAATAAGTTGATAAAGCATTCATTCAGTGAGCTTGCTGATTATATATGAATAAAATGTAGTTTTAGAAGTTTTATGAAATAGATTTCTCTAGTCAGCTGGTAGCTAATTTACTATGTTGCAGGTGTTCATTGAGATATATCTAAATTAGTTAGTTTGTCTCCGAAAGTGGGTTCATCCTTTAAGAATGTGCCAGAGCGCTCCATGACGGGAATGTCTCTGACGGGAGGCGCCCTCTCCTCGTGCTGGTGCTGATGCTGATGCCGGCTTGTATGTCCAATTCTCTGACACCTAGGTATAATATTCTTCGGTAGTTCTTTCTCTTTCACTACCTGCAATGAACAAATAAATTTAACGCGTGTTTTGAATTAAGGTAAAGTATAAAATATACAACATGTACAGGATCAATAACCACGATACTGAAAAAAAATTTTTTTCGTTTTACAATGGATTTACGTACCTTGGGCACAACCTTCGCGGAGCTTGACTTCGTGGCGTTCATCAAGGAACCAGGCACTTTACGATCCTGGGGTCTAGTGGGAACCATGTTGTTGTTGTTCCTGGGAACCTGCTTAGTGAACTTTGGTTGCTCCCTGGAGAACCGATTTTCCAGGCCCTTGGATTTTGTTGAGTTGTTTAAATATACCGGTATCTTTGTTTTAGATTTATTAGACGCCACAGTAGCAGTTGTCGGTTCAACATGTTTTAATATTTTGCTCGCTGTAAGAAAAATCGATACCTATACTAATAATATAAAGCTGAAAATGAGTCTGTTTGTTTGTGTGCGCTTATTTTAGGAAATACTATTTCAATTTGAATTTTTTTAGTAGTAGTTGCTATAAAATATTATAAAATAATACTTACAGTCGACTGCGCCCTTGGTGTGCTTGGTCTTCGTGTAGGTGGCATATCGGTTGCTCGTTTGTGATTCGCTGAGCGAGTCAGTGGACGGCTCAGCGGTGCGTGGCCGCGAGCTGGTGGCCAGGCTATCCTGCGACATGGTCTGCGGGACCATTTCCCCCCGCCGCCCCTTCTGGGGACTCGACCGTAAGTTTCTCAAATGTATAGGGCTTGAGTTACGAGACGATTCACTTGACGATTCAATTTTTGGCAGGTGTTTGTTCACAACTGATGTTTTCTTGTCTTTTTGTTTAATATCTAAATACCTCGGTTTAGTCCTCTCGAAGGATGGAGCCCGCGCTGAGCTAGCTTTAGTATTTAACTTGTCTTGTGATTTGGTATTTTTTTTTTATTATATTTGGCACGTCCTCTTGTGCTTTCGTCGTCCTCACCTTTGGTGGATTAGTGGACACAATCGACTTCTTGCTATCACGGATATCGTTGCTACTCTTAAGAGTGTCCACTGATCCGACTGGGTACATCGGTTTAGGCGAATAAGGCACAAATAAAGCACGCACGTGGGCTATGTCAATATTACGAGGCGATGAACTGAATGGCTTGTTTTTCACAACAGTGGTCGTATTAATTTTTCTCTCTTGCTGATGCGTAGGAGAGGATATAGGCAACGCATGCGCACCGTATTTAATACAACCGAGCTCTCGCAGCTTTTTACGTAACTCCGATGGTAACTCCTTGAACGCCTGTGTAGTGACAACTCTGGGCGACGCTCGCACTAGCGCACCCTCACACTGCATACGCCAGTTGCCCGCTTGTGAGTACAGTATAGTGTATTGGCCCAAACTTTTACGGTTTTCAGTACCGTTACTAATCAAATCAGGTTTCGAGTACTGACTATTGCGCATTTCTTTGAGGAGCGCAGAAAGAAAACCATAAGCACGACAGACTTCGTCCGGAGGTGCCCATTCGATAGCAGCAGCATGAAAATCGTCGAGAGCTTGCTTGGCGGCCTGTGGCGCTTCGTTTGGTAATGGAGGGATGGCTTGGTAAACAGCGAGAAGCCTTGGGCCCGCGAAGTGCGCTGCTACACTTATGAGCCTTCGGCACATCCGTGCTACGGACTCAGCCCATTTAGAGTTTTGTAACGATGCCGTAGTAATGCCGCAGCCGTACACAGTGTCCACCACATTGTCCACGGTCAGGTTGACGGTGTGATGCTGGAAGCACTTATCTAAGAGATCCGTAGGCAGCGTCGCGAACGCCTTGGTTGGCCAAACTTTTGTAAAGTGTTTCGTAATCCATTTGACACATTTGAGATATAAATCATCCAAACCATATACAGCAGACAATGGGAAGCATTCCAACACACCGACTATGCACACAGTACACGGCTGGAACGTAAAAATATGCATTTGTAACTAGAGTAACAAACTATACATTTCAGAACTGAAGTTGGGGGTATTTTCATGAACAAATTGAAGTCGATGATCGATTCTTGTTAACCAAGGGTATTCCGCACAGGTGTAGGAACTAGTAGGCTACACTGGTAAATTTGTTCATGAAAAGACCGGACAACCTTTGCTCTGGAATGGACTACAACGATGACGAAGTCCACTGTTCATTCAATGCTCTAGAAGTACGGACAGCATTCATTTCATTATAACCCGTACAAACTATTTTAACGAGGGAATCAAGTCGTGTTTTCGACAGTCGGCATGTAGGTGAAGATTACGCATAATAATGTCGCACTGTACTACGACACTGATTTTGTAATAATTCACATCAGTCAGTAGCTTGTATTTAGTTTCAAGTTAGTATTCGATAAAATTATGTTGGTAACATATTCGTGGTTGGATAACCCTCGGTATCGTAAGGGTTAAGCTGGGGGTTGATTTGAATAAAAGTACGAGGTAGTGGTTACCGAACACTTATATTCCGAATTATTGTACAATGAAATTTTCATACAATAGCACGTGACAAATTGATACCAACATTCAAATAAATTCGTTGGACCCTTATAGTATTGCCGGAGAATCTTAACACCGCGATTCAGAAAACGATCTCAAATAAAAAGCGCCATCTATGGCCGAAAGTTGGAACACTTGTTTTCTGAACCGCGGGTTTCTTAATGTCATTTGCTTGACGGTTAGACATTCCGCCCACCAAGGACATTATACCATTATGTCCTTCTAAAGTTACAAAAAGTTACAACGAATACAGAAATAAGATTAACAATATGGCTTAAAGCTAACCTAAACTAATATAATTAGACAACGGGCAAGACACACAGTTTAGATGTGGGCCTTTTGAGCATAGAACCATTACTGCGAATTGTGACTACTCGTGTAAGATTGTCCAACCCCGGATGCTTGCTTCATGTGTAACCATCGAGGTACTGAAAACTTCGTTAAAAAGTGTAACTCCTGTCGGTAAGTAAACCATTCTTTTTTTATTTTATGTGAAACTTCCTCATCCCATGCAATCCCAGAAATCCACAATTTCTGAATAAGCATTTTTGCTACAATAATTACTGGGGCGACCCATCCTAAAGGGTCAAATAGTCTTGCTATATCTGATAATATTTTCCTTTTTGTTACAGGTTCTTGCAGCGCCGGTAGCTGAACGGAATATTGGAAAGTGTCACAGGTACGGTTCCAGGTAAGTCCCAACGTTTTAAATACTTCATCTTGTTTTATGCTTATCTCTTTTTCTACATTAAGTTGTCCCTTAAACGAGTGTCTTTTCCCGATCATTTTTTCCAGTAATTCACTGCTGTTGCTTGACCACTTTTGTAAAGTGAATCCCGCCTTTGAAAGTAACTCGTTCATTTGATCATAGATTTGCATGCCTTCCTCTATCGTGTCACAACCAGTCATCAAATCATCCATGTAATAATCTTTAAGTACCCTTTCAGCTGCGAATGGATATTTAACTCCTTCATCGTACGCCACTTGCTGCATCGATCGCACTGCCAAAAAAGGTGCTGAAGAGGTACCAAAGGTAACAGTAAGTAATTTGTAATGTTTTAGTGTAGAATGCTTGTTATCTCTCCACACGATGCGCTGAAAATCAGTGTGATGGTCAGCGACGCGTATCATTCGGTACATTTTTACGATGTCCGAGACAAGGCAAATGCGGTGAGTTCTCCAACCAATCAACAAATGTCGCAAATCTGGTTGCAGGCGAGGACCTATCATTAAGTCGTCGTTGAGAGATAATCCATTATTTCCCTTACAGGAAGCATCAAAAACAACCCGAACCTTGGTTGTGTCCTTATCATTACGTACAACCGCATGGTGAGGTAAGTACACTGCATGCTGATTTTGTTCCTCTGATTTAGTTAGTTCCCTCATATGTCCCAGTTGTAAATACTCCTTCATAACGTCTGCGTATTTTTCCTTTAACTTTGTATCTTTGGCAAATTTAGTTTCTAATGCATAAAACCTCTTAATTGCAGCGTTTCTTGTATCACCATATTGACAGCTTGGATCTTCGCTTTTAAATGGTAAGTTAACAACGTAGCGACCGTCCTTTTCTCTAGTAGTTGTAGCCTTAAATATTTCCTCACACCTGGATTCTTCTTCGGTGAGTATATGCTTCTTGATGTGATTTGGTTCTTTTTCTAATTCCCAGAATTTTTTCAGGATTTCATCATCACCGAGTTGAGTATGCATCACGGTAATATTGGATGTATTCTGAGAAGCAGAAGTAACTGTACCCGATAAAATCCATCCCAATGAGGTAGCCTGAGCTATAGTGCTGCCATCAGGTGCCTTTTTGAACCCGTTCTGCAAAATCTGGCTATAAATTTCTGCCCCTAACAACATATCAACTTTATCTGGTTTGTGATATCTAGGATCCGCTAGTTCAATGTCACTAACTTGAGCCCAATCTAAATATGACGTTTCTCTACCCGGTAATAAAGACGTTAAAGATTTGAGAACGTATGCTTTGACTACAAGTTCATATGACGGATCAATCCTAGATTGAATTTTGACCTCAACAACCGAATTTAATACTAATTTGTTATGAACATCTATGCCAGTAATTGAACCCTTAACTGCTTTTTTACGCAACCCTAAACTCTGCACAGTACGCTCTGTAACGAAAGATGCTTGTGAGCCTTGATCCAACAGGGCTCTTATCGTAAACAAACCGTTTTTGGATACAGCTCTCACCAGCGCTGTAGCCAGCAAGACCTGACTACTCGCTCCACTTTTTGAGAAACAAGCTACTACCTTGTTTTGAGATTCCACTTCGACTGTGGTTGAATGTGCTTGTGTTGATGGATTTCCCTTATCACCAGCACATTCCTGCTCATTTTTAGGGTGCAGTAAAGAGTGATGTCTTCGCTTACAGATTTGACACGAAGCTGTACATTTACACAATCTAGCAGAGTGGTTGTACCCCAAACAATTAAAACATAAATTATGATCCTGGACAAACTTACGCCGAATATCCACATCCTTATTAACAAATTGTTTACAATTTCTTAGTTTGTGCTCGTTACTTTTACAAACTGGACATACCTTGGCTGTATTGGCCGCTGTGTGAAATACCCTTTCCTTGGCAACACTGTTCTTATTTGACTTATTACCTAAAAATTCAAGCGCCCTATAACGGCTTGTTAAGAACTCTTTGAGCTGTCCGAATGTAGGCAACTCATCTGAATCTATATTGCTGGTTACTTTTAATTCCCAATCCTTTCTGCTGATAGGATCTAATTTTAATGCTACAATGTGAATTATTATAATGTCCCAGGAAGTTACATCAATATCCAAATTCATTAACGCATTTAAGCAATCTGATGTTGTATCCATTAATTCCTTTAAAGCACTAGGTGACTCTTGCATAATATTTTTCTGATTAAGTAATCTTGCCAAAATACAATGCGATAAATATTTCCTATTGTTATATCTGGTCTCCAATTGAGTCCAGCATCTATCATAATTAGATTCTGAAATTGGTATATGACGGAGGAGCTGTTCGGCTTCCCCAGTCAAATAGCTTTTTAAATAATGCAATTTTTGGACATTGTCAATAGTGGTATTCTTGTGAATTGCTGACACAAATAAATCACGAAAAGTGGGCCATTCGGTATATTTCCCGGAAAAAGTGGGAATCGTTATTCTCGGTAACTTAATAGTTATGCCTTTACCAGGTGAATCATTATTTGACGACATAGCTGAAGGAACGTCACTATTCTTAAATTTACTTAATGCTATTTTTAATTCGCATCTTAAATCTAAATACAATTCTTCAGTGTTAAAATAAACCTCGTTTACAGTATAAGGCGAAGATGTTAACTCCTTATAATCAAAATCCTTAACCATCTGTGTATGTGTTAAATTAAATTGTGCCCATAACTCTTCAATATTTTCTAATCTAGTTTCTAAATATTGTAAAGTAATCCTATCTTTAGGAGATTTTTTAAAATTACTTTTAGCCCTTGATAATCTGACGTAAATGTCATCTTGCACTTTAACATGTGATTGCAAAGACATTTTGAAGCACAAATTCAAAATTCAACACAGAAAAAAACAAACAGATTTTTAAAAATAAAGTACAAGTCTATTATAGACAGCAAATAGTTTCTATGTGTTTCAAATGTTAGAAAATTTTACAAGTCCATGTAAACATCAAAATTTTTCTAAGTGTTTTAAACTTAGAGAATCTAGTAAAAATCGGGCATAGGTTCCCCGTCTGAACAGAATTTGCCTTAAATCTAACTAAGTCTAACATGCACACACAACAATTATTCTAAGTCCAAGATTTTTTCTAAGTTAAAGTCTTCTAGGCCATAAGGTTTACTTTTGCTTGACTCGAAATAATATATCACAAAGTACTCACGTTTTTTCGCACTATCACTCACTTCCTTACAGCTTGCTTGCTGTTGATGCCAGCGCCCGCCAGGTGGCGCGCCGATCTCAGGTTCGATGCTCAGCTACACTGGGATGCCGCATCTACGGATGTCCAGCTCCGGAGTCCGCAATGCCACATCCGGAATTATCCGCACAATTGCTTGAACTGCAGTGGCGCCCTCTGTCGGCGACACTGGGAGCACTTCAGTGGCAATCCACCACTGGTTTCTGTGCTGCTGATACCCAAAAACTTCGAGAAGCGTTATATTTATGACGCTTCATCCGGCTCGAAGGACCATGGATAACCCTCGGTATCGTAAGGGTTAAGCTGGGGGTTGATTTGAATAAAAGTACGAGGTAGTGGTTACCGAACACTTATATTCCGAATTATTGTACAATGAAATTTTCATACAATAGCACGTGACAAATTGATACCAACATTCAAATAAATTCGTTGGACCCTTATAGTATTGCCGGAGAATCTTAACACCGCGATTCAGAAAACGATCTCAAATAAAAAGCGCCATCTATGGCCGAAAGTTGGAACACTTGTTTTCTGAACCGCGGGTTTGTTAATGTCATTTGCTTGACGGTTAGACAGTGGTTATGTAATAACAATGCACTATTATTATACTTGTCCAAATTCACCAATATTCGAAGTAGTTTTTACGCTTGTTGTACAAAACTGCAACATACATTTTTTTTCACTGATGTAAATTAAAGTTGAGCGACAAAAAAATTGTTCTATGAAAACTGATACACGAAGTACTTTTTCCGAATAACTCTCTTATTACTGATATAATCAAATAGTATTGATCCACGAATAATTTGATATACAAAAACTTACTAAATTTTTTTTTTCACTAAGATAAAAAGATGTGTGTCAAGGTAGTGATTTATATTTCGCTGAGCGTATATTAGGATGTTTAGTAGTAGTTGGTAGGGATTGATCCCAACTATCACCGCTTACAGTATTGTGCACTATTTACTGGATACCCTGTATACTTAGGTAAAATTAACTTTATTTGTAAAGCTTATAAACTTACCTTGTGAAAATGATGGCAATATTTAGCCTTTAACGTAAACATTATGGCTTCCTTGAGACCCTCTAAGCCCAACATATCGGCGATAGTTGCCAATTCAACGATGCTCACCGAATCCGGAATTGTTGCAAGACCAGAATATATGTGGCACAATGCGAAATACACCACGTTGTATGAAAACCTAAAACAATAGAGTAAATAAACATTAATAAACCAACGATCAAGATAATCTTGTGCTCGACAACCTCACCGAAATAGCGATGTTGGCTTTCTACTACATAGGGAAGTAAAAGATCACGTTTAAAACGGCGTTCTACTCCAACAGAATGCTAATACCAAAAATACGGTGCACGCATGTACCTTGGTCTGCTATAGGACACGGCTGACTCCACCGAGTTCTCACACGCGACGATCCACGTGAACGAGTTTTCTTTGCTTTTCTTACGATTGACGGAAGAAATCGGGGAGCCGAGTTTTTTACTGTTTCTCAAACTTTTTAAGAAAACGGAATGCTTCACACTTGTCTTTATAGTGATAAAGACGTCTGCGTTTTGATATTGCAAACTGTTGGAGGAGGCTACGTAGCGTTCAGTTTTGCGGTGACGGACTATATACTGTACCTGTAACTCGGTAAGTTGTAAGATACTATAGTATTGTAGCCGCACCGCAGAACTACATACCTACCAGTTACCGGAATACCTTACTAATACCGAACCATATCCACAATACCTTTACCAACGTTTTTTGGTTCAGCTCGTAAAGTACTTATCACTAGATAACCAACCAATAGAAAGTATGGAAAGTCTACTTTCACACTGATTATGAAAATAATTAAAAACTACGATACTCACGGGGGGAGCACGATAACATTCCCCAAGCTCTCCACCCAACCGCCACTCAATATACCAGCAAAGTATTGACATCTGAAAAAAGACAACTCGTGTGACTTGTCGCTCTTAACTGATAACTTATGTCAAAACTTCTTTATAAATAGAAATATCCCTTAACCTGGATGACAGTATACATTTGTGTGCCTTGAATCGTTTTCCTGACACTTCCACAATGACATCAGGCGCGATTTCCTCAAGAAACATTCTTAGTAAGTCTTGACCAAGACGCGAAGTACAGTTCTCTATTAAATTCGAAGTCTGGCTGTCTGTAGTACTGTTCCCTAAAATGAGTTTTAGGGGTTAATTCCAATTCTACAATCTATATAATAAGCAAGCTTACGTTGTTTGAACTCACCAAACCCTGAGCGACAGTTGCTGCTCTGCATACTACTTATTTCCGACATATCGGACCCTTGCTCATCACCATCACCGAGGGTGCTGGATGTGCCTAGTCTCAGCGGTGACCGCGTCCTACTCGATAGGCAACCAGGCATGCTCCTACTAAATTCATTTTGTAAGTGAGGAAATAGTCTGTTCAAGCTGAGCGCATTCTCTGAATGAAAAGAAGTAATAACTTCTATCGATCTAGAGTTCGTAGAAAATCCTTGTTCGCCCCAGTCAGGAATGGATCTTGTCATCCGTACATCGACTCCTTTAGTTTCGATAGAGACCAACATATCTGTTTTCTGCACCGGTTTATCTAAGTCTGACAGTTTCACAAAGCTACTGTCTTGAGAATTCGCTGAAAGTTCTTTAGGGCAGGTTATTTTTTCGGCCTCTTCCTGTTCTTGTGGCTGGTTTACTTTCCGCACCTGTTCTATGAAAGAATCTTCGCCGTTCGTTACAACGGTTTCATTTCCTCCTGGAATCGCGATTATTTCAGAAATACTAATATTGGGATCTTCGCACAAAGCTTCAATTTTCTCAAATGTGGTGTCTTTGTCTCTAGAGTTTCTTTCTGTGGTTTTAGGTTTTTGCGGAGGCAATTTATTTTCGACATTTGCAGTACTCTTTTTCATTGAAGCGGATAGTCTGGAAGGCATATCTTTCAAAGTCGAATTATCGCCTAGATCTATGTACATAGAAAATATATTCTTTTTTTCGTTTACTGATCCATCGGATAGTTTACCTACCAATGAACTGTCGTCTGCTTCCAGATTACTAGACATGTCTACTACCCAAGCTGAAGAAGAACTTTGTTTTCCTGTTACGGTACTTATTTCACTCTGCTTAGATTTTAGTGATGGATTACCTTCATGATTATTTCCTACCTGAGGTAAATGATCTTCTACTGACACACCGCCGGAAAGAATCGGAGGAGAACGACTACCTTTCCTGACATTCATAGAAGAACTGTCAGAATCGATGATAATGTTACTTTCACTGTCTTCTGACTCGTACGGTTTAAAAGTCTTCACTGACAATATTGAGTTGTTTGGTGTAGCTGTGGCAAAGCATGGCATGTACACTGCACTGCGCAATTTCTCTTTATCTGATAAATATTTAATATTATCTTCCACATCTGCACCTACATCAGATTGAGCTGCATTTTCAAATGCATTTGTGCACAAAGAGTCTTCTGTAATTGGGGTCATTTCAAAAATAATAGGAGATAAATCTTTTATTATTGAATCAAAATCCTTTTTTTCACTCTGTTCTAATGAATCATCATTGTCGTTACTTTCTGACCAATCACCTGGACTGTTGTCCGACTTCATAGTCGAGCAAGCAACCGGTACCGGTTTACTTGGTGTGGGTAAAATTTCTAAATTAATATTTGTGGAAGATGCGTTATTAGTGGTTTCTAATACAAGACACTCATCTTCATCAACTAAGTTAGAAGCATCTATAAAACAAGTTGTAGATTTGAAAGGTGATTTCTGGACTAAACCAGAAGTGTTAAAATAATTCTGGCGTTCATTGAGTAAAAACCTTTCGCAAATTTCCTTTTGAACTAATTTAGGCGGGTACACAGACTCCCAGGAACCCGTTTCAGAGGATAATGAGGACGATTCTAGTATGACAATTTCTTCATTCTGTCTCTGCTTTTCTTCTTTTAGTGACTTGCCACTCAGCTCTGGAAGACTACTTTGACCATTGCAATCTTGGTCTAAAGAAGTGCCGCTCTGCTTCGATCTATGTAGCTGGTTTTCTAAGGAACTGGGTACAGATATCGCTGAGATGCTTGCATCGTCAGCAACTAAGTCATGAACCGTGCTCTCTGATAAAGACATGTTTGTTAAAGTGACGTCCTTTTGACTATTGACGCTACCCAACATTGCAGGGTCCTCCAGTCCCGAATCTGACCAAGTGTAAATATTCTCCATCTTGGATGTGATGTTCTCAACATTTACTTGTTGTTGGAAACCAGACGTTGTAAGACCTGGAGAAAAAGTGTATGCTGCAGACAAATAATCAGAAGAAGAACTGGGCTCATCCGTGATTAAACTATCCGGGGAATATGCAGCATCCAATGAGTTAGACTTGGTTTTAGTGGTAGTGTTACGTCCTGCAGTATCACTAAGCGGCAATATCTGATTACTTTTGAAGTCCTTATCAGCCGCTGTACTTAGGTTGTGTTCAGGTTTTGGAGAGGTTTTATCTTTTAGACAAATATTATTTATATTGTTATTACTACTGGAATGCTTAACTGTTTTGGAAATATGACTAGAATTCAAGGGTAGCGAAGTAGGTTTGTTTAGCTGTATTTTAACTTGATTTTTATCTTCTGTTTGACCTTTTATTATAGAATGAAAGGCATTAGAAAGCTCGTCTTGCTCGATAAGCTCCTTCTCAAATAAATTCCCTTCGATTGGAACTAGTGCATAATATTCTTTTGTTAATTCCGTGCTGGGACTAGATTGAATAGCTTTGTGGGTATCACTGTCTACATATGGGGTAATACACTTGGGTGTGGAGAAAACTTCGGATTCCTCGCCTTCTTCTTTTATATTACTGGGCTTCACTGACACGGGTTTTAAAGCACTCAAATTGCATTGAAGAAACTTAATTATTTCTTTTTCTTCGTGTTGTATGTTGCATTCAGTGTAAACATCGCTAAAACAAAATAGAAACATTAATTAGGCAATCTTTATCAACACTGAACAAACTACAACACTGACAGTTAAACATAACAAACAGGTATAAGCATAAATACATTTATAAGTACATATAATTGTTTGTTAGACAAACTGAGAGAACAGAGAACAAATTGTTATATCATAATTATAAAAATGCCATGACATCCTACATATTTAATGTTAAACTTTTTAATTAACTAGCCTATGCACCTTTATAATAGACATTTATAAACGGGTTAGTTTTTAATGCCTGTTCGACCCTGAGTAGTATACAGATTGTAGAGACTGTCGTGTAAGTCCTATATTCTTTTAAAGTAGATATCTACTTATGTTTTGTCTAAACATTGCAGTGCTGATGATGTACAGCTGTACACTGTTAAAGAATGTCAAACCAACGTAAGTAGGTCATCCGACGTTACAAGAAAGCTAATAATATTTATAAAATACTTTTTTGTTTTGCTTTACTAACCAGGCGCCATCAATTTCTATAGTTAATCAATGACTATCAATAATGTCAATATTACTATATTGTATAAAATCTTCATTAAAAAGTATTTCTATCAATATAGTTATTGCAATACCGCAGTGAAAGTACAGAAATTTTTAGCCATAAACTACAAGCATTCAGTAGTTACGGAGTAAAGCGTGGCATTGCAAAAGTAAGCATATTATAGACAGAAATAAAGCTAGAAGATGTATACAAACTTTTATTTATACAGTAAGTTCATTTAGTATTCATTTAAAACCTAGCATAATTAGAACATTAAAGAATTAACCAACTGTCCATACCTTATGAAAGAATATATTTCATCGAAAGTATTGCGCTCAATGTTCACATGCAAAAATGTATGTAGTTGGTGATAAAATTGATCAGTGCGTGCTTTTAGAATGCAAGAATGAGTTAGTATCTTTAATTTCCCACACACCACTTCAAGATCAGAGTAAATAGATTCATCAAAGATTCTGTAACAATTAAATGTTATGAAGCATAGTTAGTAACTAATAATTCCTAGGCCCACCACCTCCATAATTAGAAAAACAAACAAGACAAGCTAAATAACACTGTTTAAAAGGGTCAGTATAATTTTGTTAGCGGTTGTACAGGTTTTTGACTACTACTTATAATCATTTGTAGGTAGTTTTTGAAAGGTAAAGACTGAGTTAATTAATTTAAATTCATATGACAAAAGCGTGGAATTCTATAAAACAGGCATATACATGATGGATAGGTAGAATTATTAACAAAATGGCATGTGTAGTTTGGTGATCCATTCGGACACACAAGACGACAGCACCACCGAAGGTTGTATTGTACCTCACGTACTAATTTTACATCATTAACAATATGTTTACAATAGCAAGATAACGGGGTAAAAAAATGAATAATATATTTAGTCCGTCAGTTAGGTAATAACAAAATATTAGACACGTATTTTAATTATTTTGTCGTAAAAGATAACGATACTTAGATAAAACGAATCAAAGTTTAGGAGTAGGACCTTAAACGTCATTTCTATGTATAAAACGTACCTAGAAGTGACGTCACTTGATATTCGAAAGTTTTTGTTTCGGTGATAATGTTTTAAAATAATCTACCAGACGGGCATAACATCATCTCGTAATTTTCAAGAACTTTACATGTAAAAAAATATTGGTCCGAAATCAGAAATACAATTAACAATTGGAAAATAAAATCTATCAGATTTGTGACAGTGAAATAGCGGTAGATACAGCGGTTTTAGTTTACATTAATTAATTATATTATTTATTTATTTATTTTAATTCGGGTAACCAACAGGTATATCACTAAGAATAAAATTTCAGGATATGCTAATCTAAGCCAATTATAGGTTTCCACGGCTAGCTACAGTATATCTCTACAGAGGTTTTGCGAATGCAATGCACTTAAAAGTATAAAACAAATTATTCATTCAAAAAATTTAAGGTTTAGTCGCCTACGCACTCTGGAACTGCTTGTGGTAAATGGATCGAGTTCTAAATCCACAATATAGGAATTTTGTCTATAGTTTGAGGAAGAAGTTGGGACAGCAATTGGTGGGTTAAATCGAACCGACTTTTTCGGAACATTAAATAATAGCTTATGCAAAAGGTCTGAGCAATCGATTTCGCTATTTAGTATCTTGGCAAAATAAGTGTAATCTGCTATTCGACGGATGATTAAGGATGTTGCCCTTGTGGAACCGAAACTGGATTAGCAGGTGTTGGATTAATTGGAAAATTCAGCCATCGGAACCAGGGCCGAATCTCCGTAACATCCCTAGTTAGCATAATGTTAGTAGTACCTATACCTATATATTATTATATACCAGGGCACGCTCAGGACATCACATTATGCGAATTTAGATTAATTACTAAGACAGGTTAGTTCCCAAGACAGGCGGCGGATGTATTAATGATTACCTATTATTTTAAATGAAAACACAAAAAATAAAGATTTATACCAAATATACGATCGCTATTCACGTGTCTGCCTGCGTCCTCCGTACTCTGTGAGATATAAAATATAAAAATAAGAAAAATAATATTTAATATTTTGTTTTAAAAGAAGCGAACATAACTTGAAAATCGCATACTCGTTGGGACTTAGTTGACTTAGTTAAATTACATACTAGCCTTTTTTAATTCGCTTTACTAATAGCACTTACAAGATGAATATGACTTACTGACGAATCAATAAGCTTTAGTCAAAGTTTATATTGTTAGCATGGTAAACTACTTATAAATACACATATAGTACTGTATTTAAAGTAGAAACACATTGTCCAGTACGCTATCAGGTTACCTCGCAATGTCATCCTCCAGCTGCCTCTGGAGGTGAAGTTGTAATTTATTTTGAGAGTCCTCACAGGCAGAGATCTGATCTGCCGGCCCCGGCATCAAGCATCTCTTACGGCTGAAACAAATAATACAAAATTGCTCAGGATTAGATGTCCACAAGTGCTACGCATTCCTGCGCATTGTACAACAAACTTGTAGGTTTGTAAACCCACGACATAGGAGAAAACCTTAGTGAAGTATTTACAACGACGAAAAAAATTACATAAGATGCACCTATAAAGTTAACAACCCGATAGGAACCGATAAAAAACAAGAACCAAGAACGCCAAACACACGGTGAGGACGATATCTTACGTCTGAATGAAGCATGCTGGCTGGGAATAGCGGAGGACCAGGAAATCTTTGGAGGTGGCCTGTACCCCAGGGTTCTTATCTTCAGATTATTTTTAAAAGTAAATTGTAAACTTATAAAATATATTGTTTTTTATTAATGTAGGTATCGTCGTCATTTGGCTAATCTAATCCCGATAATAAGTCACACGTAGTTGCATGGTGCACTAATATAACTGGGTCAGCGTATCTTTAGGTGAACCGAAACAAATGATAAATCGGCCAATAATAAGCGGCTCCATGAACATGTACTTGTAACCAATATTTATCATTCAATGTAAGTAAATTGAAAAAATAGGCAAGTTGGTACCGAAATAGTTCTATGTTTTTCATTCAATGTAGGTAAATTGAAAAATACAACTACGTAGGTACCTACTTAGTTCTATTTTTTCATTCAATGTAGGTAAATTAAAAACATTCAACTACTTATTTCTATTTTTTCACTGCAAGCTCATACTTACTAAATAATGGCATTGATTTAAAGATATAAAAGACAATAGCCAAACAACAATAGGAAGGGTTTGTGCTCAGTAGCCTGTACCAGGTACTTGAAAGACCTTGACTCTGCCTCGAGGGGCGTTATCAATTTCATTAGCTAATTGAATATATGTGGAAATGTTGTATACGCATAATCTTTTATTAAAATGGTATTGCGATACATATTTTTTATTAAAAGTTACTGGTTTCTCCTAAATAACGTCTACCACTATTGCATTATTTTAGTTTTATTATACAAAGACTTCCATTTCCAGCTGACAGCTGACAGGATGACTTAGCGCACCCAAGTGTGTACTTGTGTTTTTGTGTAAAAACAATAGCTGCTATTTATTTATATGAATAAACTGTGCAATAGCAAAAAGACGTTACCTCGTTTGAATTCCCTACGAAACATTAAAATTGTAATATTTATGAAATACGGTTGCTAATTTGCTATCCCAATCACATACGATGGGTACTTTAAAAGGAATATGTAATGACGGTATGTGCTGGTGTGCTCATTGTATTGTATTCTGTTAGTATTAAAATGTCGCGATAAATGGCTCATTCACGCTCATGTGTTTTGAAATATTGACTTCAGGTGTTGTAAGTTCCGGAGCTGCGGACAACTTAATGATTTACCGGGGTTCTGGTTCGAAACAGGATGGAGGGACAACGGGGAGGTTTTTAGTTAGTAAGAGTCTGACACTAAAGGGAGAGCCCAAGGAGGGAGATGTAATTCAGATGATTTGCACCTCAAAAACGTGTTGTATACCTATGTATCGTCAAACAACAGTGATGACCATTAAAGACAAATAATGACAAAACTAGTTTGTGACAGAAATGGCAACAAAAAAAAGGCATAATTACAATTATTAAGATATGACCGCCATAGGCTAGAGCAAATAATATAGTTAGCTATTTACATATTTCACATTATTTGTTTGTTTTATTTTAGTTTTACTAAACAATAATCTCCATAATTCACAACTTCGTAAATATCTCAGTTCTATTTCAAACTGTGTTTGGGAGCAAATGTTCTGCGTTAGACAATGACAACAAAGATTTACTTATGCCAGCACAATTGGTTCATGTTATACAATCGTCAAAACAAACAGGCAAATTGCAGGTCGGACCCGCGCGAATGGGTCCGTACCATTATTTATAATCACTATTTATTTTATATTCATTCCCGTTGTAAGGAACATAATTACTCTAAGAAGAACACACTATCTTCGTCCAATATACTGTTGCGGGTAGGTTAACTTAAATCTAAGTATAAGTGTTCTTTTTGTTATTTTTGTACTCAATAATCAGGGTGACGTTTTCTTTTAAGAAAAAACTCTGTAATTAAATAAAGATAAAAAAAAATACTTGAACTTGGCTTTTACTATGGTATATCAATATTCAGTGATACAATAGTGTGTGAGGGTATTTCAATAATAAAAGTTAGTGTTTAACAAACTTGTATGGTTTTCATGTAGAATAGAAGATATGGGGGTAGTTTGCCTGTATGAAGTTTGCGGGGTCAACTAGAAAGTTCTATAATTTTTCTCACTATCTACCCCCTCCGTTAGTAATTTAGCACTGACTGGTAATCTGATTTTTAGCCTCCTATCCATTAAAATCTGTGCAGCAGCTGTAGCCAAATGCTATTTAGCACTTGTCTACTTCTAGAGTAGATAACTAAATTATAAAGAATTGACGTAAATTTTGACACTTGGTTGGTTGATTCTCAAAGTAGTGACTTTGATTGTTTTGCAGCCAAGTTGAGGGCTGTTTTGTCGGTAGGGTGTTGTGACTGACGCCACTTGACTTTTCGTAGGCGTCTCTAAATAAAGAATTATATTGTTGTAGTAAATTAATTTTCTATGTTGAGGTGTTACATGTAAAATAAAGCTTAAAATATACATATGTATAAGTAAAAAACCCACGATCGAATCATAGATATACAATTAGTAACAGGTGCCATAGGCCTGATGACAGCATGATGCAGGTTCTTATGACCAATGAATATGGTAATAATCATAGTGATGTCAATTCTATAAATAGATTATGTGATTATATTATAGAATTTTTAAACCCAGTTTTTATTGTGTGAACACTTTAATTTTTTGGAATCTTACGTAACAACATCATGCCCTTTAATCTCCCAGAATGATAGACATGGAAGGCCTAACCGGTTGCCGGGGATCGGGCTTTAAAAGCAGGAGTAAGAACTGGGTGGTTTTAGTCAGTAAGAGCCTGACATTCCCTCTCGCCTAATCCAAGGCGGGAGAAGATATTGCATGATATACCCCTCAAAAAAACAGTGTTCCGAAGCATGTATAGCATGTATGAGAAAGTATTCAGCCTGGCAACCCATTCTCCACATGTGCTTTCCAATTTAAATTTTAATCAACCATTAATCCCAAAAACTTTGCTACTTTAACTTCACTTATTATCTTTGTTAAGCAAAGCCTCAAGCTGAAATTATCTATAGCAAAGTTTCTTTTAGAACAAAAGACTTATTATACAGAAGACTGAAAATATTATGAAACTTGTTAAAAGAATTGTCTAGGTCCAGTTCTCCATAGACATCATTAAATTTAAGAGAGCGAAGGTAGTAATATTTTCTTGACAATAGTCTCTTAATTCAACATGCCAGTACATTATTTTAAGTTTATATTTAACAGGGCAAATCAATCATTGAGCAGAATGATCTGACAGGCCCAAATCAAATACATAGAATTTGCATTAATGAACATTATGTTTGAAATTATCAATACACATATAACTTATTAATCGAGGGGGTACAAATAAAATTCTGAGAGTATGTGCTTATAAGTAGTCAAGATTTTATTATTTTTGAGAATATCTATATTGAAATCTCCACAAACTATCAGTTTTTTAGATTTATATGAAAAAGAACGCAACATATCATTCAGTTTCTTAAAAAATACATCTACCTCCTCACGATTGGTTTTAGGTGGTCTATACATATATGCATAATAAAACTAGATTCTGATTCAATAGTTCTTTAAAACTACACTCAATGACATTTACTATTGTGTGTTTTACAATATCATCAATAATTTTGAATTTAAACTGTCAAATACCGAGCGGTTACCGGTGACCGCAACCTATTGTTCTTTAATTGTGTCTATAATGACGGTACTCAACGAGTTAAATCCGCGTTTATTTAGAATACATATAAGTTTTAAAAATAAATTGTCAACAATACCTGTATGATAAAAATATTATTGATAATATTTTTCTTGTAATTAACAAGAAAATTTCAGTAAACTGAAAATGAAGGTGGTTGTACAAAATAAAGATTTTGCTAATTTACCTCTAGTGGGAAGTGCCGGAATACAAATTTATAAAATAATCCAAGGGCGCAGTTATAGAAACCAGAGAACTTACTTACTCCACATACTCACGTATTCACCGTTTTTATGCTTGAATCTCTTGATATCAATATTTTATCACACTTCGGGACAAGATCTACTTTAAACTAACATAATTTTGATAACAAAAGCTAATAGTAAGTAAACAATCGGCGTTTCACTAAAGGTCAATCGATTTCTTTACACAGCAGGTACTAGTTGACGATAGGTATACGCATATTAAGTATATAAATTTGTACGCTAAGATCACCAAACTTTAGGCAGTATATTCTAGAAATCACACTAGCGGCATAATATTCGTTCGCAAATAATAAGGATCTATAATATAAAAAACGTACCACTAATTCTTTTAGGCGATAATATTGTGTCTGTTTTCCTCACTCACCTAAGCTTCTTATATAGTCTTTGATTGACTCGTCTCGCGGCTGGCGACAAGTGTTGCCAACAGGTATACCATTTTTTTTTTTTTTTTTTTAAGGGGGGAAAATCATCGAATGACTGCTCCCGCCTGGGTGAGGCGGAGGGGAGTGTCAGACTCTTACTGACTAAAAACCACCCCGTTCCTTCTCCTGCACGTCGAGCCGGAGCCCCGGTTACCCGTTAGGTTCTCCGCGACTCCGAATCGGCATCAGCCCTATTGGGCCCCATCTGTGGTGGTCTGATGGCTCTTTGAGGCGCGCGCGGAACGCGACGCGCCGTACGCTCGGGTCTGTTTCTGGTCCACCCATGCTCGCCGTCCGCAGGCCCGCGCTTACGGTGGCCGGAGATCGTCCCGCGATCCCCGACGCCCGGTGTGTCCTTCGCGATGGCTGGGTTGCGAGGAGGCAGCGCTTCGCTGCCTCACGCGTCCCGCCTCCTCCTTAGCTAGCATGACTGCTTCGCAAAAGGAGGAGACGGCATCCCAGTCCCCCTCGCTCCGCATCATGGCCTGCACTAGGCCCGGACGCGAGAGGTCGCCATCGCCGATCACTTCCCTGAGGGCACGGCGGTGCTCAGCCCACGCAGGGCATTCTCCCACTGTGTGTTCCACCGTGTCCTCAGGGCGGTCCTCGCAGTGATGACACCCGGGCGTTTCCTCCCGCCCCATCAGACACAGGTACCTCCCGAAACTTCCATGTCCGGTGAGGACCTGCGTCAGGCGGTAGGTGAGGACGCCGTAGCGTCTCTCAAGCCACTCCCTTTAAAACTACCCGAAATTTACTAACAAAAATTATCCCAACACTCAAAACCGCTAAATTTTTACCTAAATATTTTTTATGTTATTAATTATATGTAAATATGTCTTTAGTTTATTTATTTCTTCTTTTCAACATAACATTCGTAGGTAAATTAAGATTAGTAAGTATTTATTTGATCCGAAAAACTTTCAAATACTTGTAATTGTTATTGAAGCCAATCTTTTAAATTGGACCCAGAAGCCTAAAATCCCGAAATTGTTGCGTATCTTTAGTGTGGTTCGATATTTTTGAGCATGAATACGGTCTTTGATATAGACAATTACCATTAAAATGGTACTATCGTAAGTTTACGAAAAGAATTTCGTAAGTTTGCTACAGTGTAATATATGTAATTTATATAGTTCAAAGGTGTACCTTTGAACACTAATGTATGAAGATGCAGAGTGACGAAAGTGCATTTATTTATCTCTCCCATGTAAAATTAATTAGATTTTTGCAATTTCGTAAGTTTGCCATAAAAAATATGTTATGAACACAATATCATGGATCTTGAAATTGAATTTTACAAAAAGTCCATTAGGCGCTAAATGCAATATTTCGTTACAAATTGGGAAAATCCACTAAGTTGGCAACACTGCTTGCGACCAAAGCAAAGCACAGATCACACAAACAACCAAAGATAGTATTATTACCAAAGAGTAGGTAGAACTCTGAAAACATTCTATACCTACTTTTGTTTTTAATAAAATTATAATTAACGTGGGTACTGAGTCTTTCAGCTACTACCAGCAATATCACAGCAGATAAATCACAGAACCTACATTTTTGCTTTATCTTTAAGCTTTATCTTGATAGTTTGTGTTTTGAATGTTAACACTATACATCCTTACGGCTTATAATGATAAATAATTTGAGGCAAAATGTCACCAGTTTTGGGCCACTGTAGCCTGAGCCTTGTTCATTTTGCAGGCCCTGGGTTTTGAGGTCTCCACCATACATTTTTTGAGCGGATATAATCATGATTTCTCCTAGCCTATGTGAGAAGAAAGGGAATCAGACTATTATTAAGTAATAATCACCCTGTTCCAACTCTTATTTCCAGACAGAGCTTCGGTTTTGGTATTGGTAGAGAAAAAACATCGTAGTCAGGTCAAACAGGTATATCGAATAGAATGAAGGGTAAAGAGTGTTTTCAAGACCCGAGTGAATAGGTTGCTTATGGAAGTCGTAGTGCATCATAGGCCGCATCCTCGCTTACCACTAGGTGATATAGTGGCTAAACATCAGCCCATCAAAAATAAAAAAGAAGAATAGTACCTATAGGGTCTCGTATACAGTACAATTTTGTAGGAAAGTGGAAGATATTTTTAGTTTAAAGGCAGTGTGTGGGCACCCTAAACTCAGATTCATACTATTTTTGTTGATTGTCTATGATGATGTCTTCGTGTGTTTACTTTCATATCAACAAATATTACAATCCCATCTACCGAAAGAAATGAAATCAGAAAATACATAAAACTTTGGGCTACAAAAATGGTACTATGAACGCATGATAAAAATATTGATTTTGTATGTTTGACATTTACCTAAACCGTAAACGCCATTTCCATTGATTCTGATTGTGTAGCTTTTTATTTTAAATGGCTTAAAGTCTCTAACTCTGCTGTAATCATTAGTGTACAATTAGCTAGTAACAAGTAGATAAATTAATAATGTTGGTCTATAAATTAATAGCTGTCCTACATCGACATTTTCGGGGTTAAAATAGTATCGTTGCTAACCGTTTTCATTACGTCTGTCGGTATCATTGAACTTTAAAAAACATGTAGATATAAGGAGTAAAAAACTTTTGTAAATAACATAATAATCCCAAAAGTCCAACTAAAACATAATTAATAAAGTAGTTAAAATAAATACGTGAAAATACATTTATCATCAGTATGATTGGTAGTAATAGGTGCTTAGGGCGCGGTTGTATTTATAATAAAATAACGCCTATGTAAGTTGTCCCAAGTGGAATGTCAGTAGCTGAATGTTTCCAGAGGTTAATTGATGTGGAATATTGTGAATATGGACTCAACTACTGAACATTGGGATCCAGGTAAGTGCACAGCATAATGTCACTAGTAATGTTATGTAATTTTACTTGCACTCTTTTGTGGGTCCTGTGTCATTATATACTCAAACAGTTCTACACTTGATTATAAATGATAATTGATGTAACTAATTTGAAAATGTTATTATTTAGTCAATTGCCTTTTTTTTTCAACATTAAGTGGGTACTTGTCTAATTTAAATTTGTACTTACTTTTACATTTATTTCTCCAATTAGAATACATAATGGTAAATACTTTTAAAGTCAGTGTTTCAATTGAATATACATGTTTTTTATATAGGAAGAAAAATATCCTTAAATCAATCTTTTTCCTCCTTTTTTACACAACATTTTACATACACTGATATCCAGCAATTTCTGTATTATCTTCTGAATTCTGAAGTTATCATTAACACTGTTAATACTACTTGTTTGTTATATCATTGATTGCTTATCCAGACAGACCATAGTTGCTTATATTTAATATCTATTACAAAGCACTTACAATTAAACAATATATGTATTCCATAGCACTCACTCGTCTCCTTGCATCATTGAAAGAAGTACAATCAGGTGGAGAAGATGTTGCATTCCTAAGTGAACTGCTGCAGTCGAAACAACTCCATGCCCTTGTTCAAGTACATAATAAAATTGTGGCCAAAGGCAAAGATGATAAGTTCTACCCTCTCTTGTCTAATGCCATGCAAGTAACTTTAGAAGTATTTGAGCTCCTCCACGATGTAGTATCTGTTTCAAAGGAATATAGAGAACTACTTAACTTATTGCAGAAACCACATTTCCAAGTAAGTAAATAGTCTCTAACATTCAGTTTGCATTACACTCAACTATTTTCCGAGTACTAGGCTTTAAGTTTGCTTTTTTCATTTCCTATTAAGCATAACTTTACAAATAGTTATAATACCTAAACATAACTATAATGAAAATATTATTTTCATCATGTTCTTCAGGCAATACTTTGCACTCATGATGCCGTTGCTCAAAAAGATTACTACCCACATCTCCCTGATGTTCCACCTGAACTAGATGATGAAGAAGAAACTGTAAAAATTGTTCAATTAGTCAAGAGTGACGAACCTTTGGTAAGATATATAAAAATTCTCATTATGTATAACAAATTTAAGGAATCAGTAAATTCATTTAGAAATAGCAGCTAAGTATGATAGCAATGTAAAACTGGTTATAACTATTCAAGTATTATATAGGTGAAAGTGTTTGCTAATATCATAAATTTATTAGTAAAGAATGTATTTTCTAAAACAAATCTGAAGCAGTTGCATGTATCATTAATATGATATAAAATGCAGTTTTAAACATTCTGGAGATTACTGAGTGAACACCATGTCATCATTTAGGGTGTAATGAAATTATTTGTTTTTTATCAAAAGGGTGGAGCACAGAGTGCAGAACCAATAGTGGTAAGTATTTATGTATGTTAAGTACTCATGCTATTCATCTGAATGCTTCCAACATCATTTTCAATCCTACCCACATAGTGTATGTACACGCATTCACCTATTTTTTAATTTATCTTGTTGATGTTCTTCTGTATTTGTTATTCTTCATTGCCACTATGTCTTAAAATTCAAGAATTATTAGCTGCTATCTCTAGATGCTGATGCAATTTGTATTGTGTTGTTATGACACTCTTAAAATATTTTATTTCCTACACTTTTACCCCACACAATACATGTTGCTTATTATTTTATTATCAATTTAACCTACATGTGTTTGATTTATGCATAGTGTCGTCTTATTATAATTTATTCCCAATTAGTACCTTGTTAATGTGATTCAACACTACTACATTCCGATATCAAGATTCATTAGAACATAAAGAAGGCATTCAAAGTCGATCTGAATGTGTCAATATTTAGACATGTTTCGTACGACAGGGAGCCACGATTAAGACAGATGAAGAAACCGGGAAAATCGTGATAGCACGAGTAATGCATGGCGGAGCCGCCGACAGATCTGGGTTGATCCACGCTGGCGATGAAGTTATCGAAGTCAACGGCATCAGCGTGGAAAACAAAACACCTGCTGATGTGTTATCGATACTGGTATGTTAACACTAACCCATACTTATCCCAACATTCTCATTATCAATACCACTTTACCACCAAGCAAAGTTAAATAATTCCGATCAATTTCACAGCAAAGTTCTGAAGGCACAATCACCTTTAAATTAGTGCCTTCATTTGGCAAAGGAGGTTCAAGGGAAAGTAAAGTGAGAGTTCGCGCTCTCTTCGATTACAACTCTTCAGAAGACCCTTACATACCCTGCAAGGAGGCTGGTCTTGACTTCAAGAAAGGAGATGTTCTACACATCGTGTCTCAAGATGATGCATACTGGCAAGTATTATTATCTTAAGTCCTTTGGATACTTACAAAAAGCGAAGGTTTTTACTGTTGACTTTGTATTCAGGTGGCAAGCTCGAAGGGAAGGTGATAGAGTAATGAGAGCAGGTTTGATACCGTCAAGAGCTCTACAAGAAGGTCGCATTATTCATGAAAGACAAACAGACCCACAGACATTGGACGGTGCGTTTTATTGATTACGTTAATAAATTGATTACTGCTACAGGCAATGGCGATTGACGCACTAATGCTGCTATAATGACTGATCCATTAAGATGTCAATCTTATTCTTAAATTTACTAATTCATTATGTGTTGCATGTCATAATCTGCTGCTGTCATTTCACAAATCATTTTCATTTACCCATTTTGCATGCTCGGCGCAGGCAAGCCGGCCCTTTGCAGTGTCTCCAATTCAAACTCGGACTGTGCTCCAAAAACTCCATGTTCACCTACGCCGTCGGCCACCGCTCTCCTCCCCTGCAAGTCTACACCTAAAGTGAAAAAGGTTATATATGACATTACAGAAAATGATGATTTTGACCGTGAAATGATACCGACATACGAGGAGGTGGCGCGGTTATACCCGCGCCCGGGGATGGTCAGACCCATTGTGTTGGTAGGTGCGCCGGGTGTTGGTAGGAATGAGTTGCGCAGGAGACTTATTGCTACCGATCCTGAGAAATATGTGACACCTATACCATGTAAGTTCAGTTTGACGCACGTTACAAAGATTCTTCAAAATTATTTTACCATATACGCCATCTGTAATATTATTAAAACTTCCAGTCACTTCCCGTGTTCAAAAATCGAGCGAACAGAATGGTAAAGATTACATGTTCGTCAGTCGTGACAAAATGGAACAGGATATAGCGGATGGAAAATTTATCGAGCACGGTGAATATAAGGGTAATTTATACGGAACGACAACGGAGAGCGTTGAGACCATCATAAATTCGGGTGAGCGCTTACTGACTACGAAATGTTACCTATATGGACTTATATATTATGTAGGATGTGACATTATAGAATTACGCAATGTCCTCGATACAGCCTACACGGTTTTCGTCTTTTTCAAAAGCCTTTTCTTATTAAGTTAGAGTTCATATTGTGTTATTCGGTATAGAACCTATTTATTGACTTATTGTTTTTTAATGGCAAGTTATTATTTTCAGGTCGCGTGTGCGTGTTAAGTCCTCACTGGCAAGCTCTAAAGATGCTCCGTACCCCTCGACTACGGCCTTATATCGTGTTCATCAGACCACCTACGCATGAGCGCCTAATCGAGACGCGGACAGCAGCTAATGCACGTTCCACCTTCGACAAGGAATGCTCCCGTGCTTTCACTGTAAGTCACGTTTAATTAACGTCAGTGATACAGGATATTAAAAATGAAATAAAAGTGTGTGGTATGATGATGCAGAACTTTGTTCCACAGGAAGAAGAGTTCTCAGACATCGCGCGGTCGTCCAACCGCATCAACTTCCTGTACGGCTACATGTTCGACGAGGAGATCGTGAACGAGGACCTGGCCAGTGCTCTCTCGCAACTTCTCAAGACAGCCTGGCGGGTGCAGTCCGAGCCGCTGTGGGTGCCTGCCTCCTGGGTCCAGTAACATTAATATTCATATACTCTTGTTACTTCTAATCATTTATACATGAAATCGTTCATAAAACCACTGCAAATGTTCATACAATCTATAAAATAATGTAGCACCTATGTACAAGTAACGAAATTTTGTTTAGTGTAGAGAAGAACAATATTTTCCCAGTAAGGTATAATATTATGTATATTTTTGTTAAAAGAAAATAATATCTAGATTAATTTCGTTCGAAACATTGAGAGTGGTTCCTTAATAAAGACGAAAAGCCTTAAATTAAATATATTTTTGCTTAATAGAATATTACGAACAGGGCTTCGCAAAATAGATTAAGATATTTTATTATGTGATTTTATTAGAAAAGAGATGTTAAACGCATATCGTAGGGTTGTTTTGAGTGTTTTTATGTACCCGAGCAGCTGTTAGTGTTTGCGTGCTTGCGTTGCATATTATTCGACAGACGGTGGAGAAAAGTGTTATTTGAAATGCTGGCGATACAAACTGTTAAATGAGGCATGCACCTTGTCTTAGTCGAGTAAAATTACTCCAATTATATTGTTATTGCCTTAACCAATATCGAAATCTACTTAAATTGTCGAATTAAAGTTATTCTAAAATTTTATAATAGAATTTAGTTCAAATATACTTATGGTACGCTGAGATCAGTCGTTATAGAATTGTAAATTATTCAATTTGCATTTAGGAACTTATTGATGTTGCTTAAATTATCTTATTATTGAACAAATGTCTATTTAAATTATTTTTTTCTTAGCCGCCACCAAAAATGGGGTGAACACAGGCATAGAAGTCGTAATTATTGAAGTAATTACTAAAATAAGGTAAATACTACAGAAGATTTACCTACCTATATTATTGATCTCATTAATTAATTTATTTATGACTTGAAAACGAAGGTACGAGAAATTTTAATGTTGTAACAAGTTTACGCGACTAAGGCAATGAGATGGAGTTCCGTACGAGACGAACTTCGCGGTTGTGGGGTCTACCTACAATACAATGATCTATAGCTATTAATGTGGGACCTATAGGACCTGAAAATTAAGTTCTAGGACCTATTATAGCTAAATAGATGTGATTGTAATAACGGTTCCCCCTGGGATGCGTCGGTATTTACTATAGTTTGCGTAGGTCAGGTTTTTGGAAAGGAAAGTACAGGCAGTCTTTGTACATTTTACAAAATATACAGGTTTATATTGAAATAACTTAGCAATTGTGCAGTGTGCAACTAATTTTACTTGTAAGTATATACTTCACATACGTTTAATGAAAATATTGTTTGAGGCGCTTTTCAGCTATGAAAAACAAAAATATGGGTATGATAAAAATGTAATAATTCTGTCCTAAAACATTGCACATGGCTGCCTGTATTTAGTTACGACTAGTTAGAACACATTCTAAAATACAATTACATAGTTCAATAAGATAGCAATAAAACAAAGTCGCTTAGCAAAATGTTATTTTATAGATATTATTATACAAAGACAATATACAAATACCAGTTAGAAGTTTATCGGCAACGCTCCCACTATAATGGAACGTAAGGAATATTCAACACCAGATAATATTATTAAAATAATGACGTGTTTATGGTCTGATGTAGAGTGACCAGTTTCATGTTATGCACTAGTTACCTGATAAATATTATATCTCTCGAAAGATTCTATTAGGATTAATGTAAAATCCTGGTGTTACTTGTTTTATCCAATGCAGGTACAAAATGGTACTTACGTACTTCCATTTAGTATATAGTTCACAAGATATATCTATTGATAACATTACAAGGGATATTTGTGAAAAAGAGTAGGTATATAAAAGTAATAAGAGAGATATTTATAAGTAATAGTGGATCTAGTGTTAATGTAAGCGATAGAAACGGGTCACACACTACTCGACTTTACTCACGTATATTTAATAGATATACTTGCAAATTATACGCTTTAGAAGACGATTTATTTACTAAAATATTTGTAAGATACCTACATATAATTATGTTATCAAAGTATTGTATACGTACCTCCAATTGTTAGTTAAGAACAACGATACAGTTGGCTATTCTCTTCACCTTTCAATTCTAAAGATCGAAGTGAAGTTGATCGCGGTCTGCCAAGTCATTGGTTGTGAGAAAATAATCTCGATCAATGACGTACGAGAATGGATTGAACTTCCTTCGAAAGTTCGATTTGACGGTTACAGCATAGCCTAGCTGTTGTACGTTTACAACATATTCGCAAATAACACTCGCAATATATTAGCCGGACTTAAGACGAGCCTTTATTATTATTAATTCAAATAAATATACCTATTTTGTAATTACGGGACGAATGAAACACATGCAATATTTTACTAGGTTAAGGTAAATAATAATAGTCGAGAACAGATTAAACAGGCCTGTTAACACATTTTACAAGTGATTCAACCATTAAAATTAACTTACAAATTAAAATATACTTAGCCGTTTCTTAACTTCAACATTTTCAGAATATTTGATCTTTATATAAATGAAATATTAATAAATAAATATGAGCCTGTCAGACTTGGCATGGGTTCACAATGTTGATAACAAACTATGTTGTAACAGTCACAACATAGGGATCAGTACGAAATTCTTCGCCTTAAGTAAGTAGTACTTACAAACCTGCAATTACAGTGTGACTGATAACTTCCATACCCAATAGGTTGCCTTAAGTAACTACTTAAACATCCTCTTTAATATATCAGTAAGCACGTTTTTTATTAATTCATTGTTAATATATGTACTTTACATTATACCTATAACAATTATTTTTATTGTTATTGTCTTGCTATATTTTATAAGTGTATATTTTGTTATGTCTTAGCTAACTCAAGTATAGTGTTCGTTAATATAGGTAAACAAATGAATCAGATAAAGTAAATGTAATAAATTAACTTATACATTGATTGTTGTTTTATGTAGCTAATGATTTCGGTTGTAGTTCATTTGATAATAGGGGATCGGAGGGTACCAGCGGATACTTAAATCAAAAATTAATAAAAAAAAATAGTTTTCTAGTCAAACAACGGAAGTGGTAGATACCATAAAATAAAAACATTATGTTGCCACATAATGTGTTTACTCGTTACTTAGCCCGGTCCCGGCCCGTATTTATGACAATCCTTAAATTTTGTACCATGTAGTTTAGTTAGTTTACCACTTGTGACCTGAGTAGTCGGTAATTTTATAAAAAAAAACTTCATCCCACATAAATCTGTTAATCAAATCTAGTCACGTGATTTCTAGTGCTAGTGTATTTAGATAGACTGAAACATTCTTATGTTATATGGCTAAACGCTATCTAGTAAATGTAATTTATAAATTTCTCGACACTATCTTTTGTGCACTTCAATAGCTATAAGTAAAACCTAAATCAAATCGATCTCTAACTATACCTTATTTGTTGATGTATGATAAAACTATTTTAGTGGTTGTAATAGGCAAAATCAAATGCCAGGCAATAAAACATGAATTGATCGAACACTAGAATTATTATAAATTATGTAAGTACTTACATGTTGTTTCATCAATTCATATTGGATTATTTGGCATTTAATCTGGCGTAGTACACCGTAGGTAACATTAAATGTCATGCTTATGCTTATAACCTAATTTCTCAATGTTAAAGCTAAAGTAAAACAAAATTTTGCATAGTAAAATTGTTAAATATTCTAATCAATACCAACAAAATTAAAAGACATTACTCAAAAGTCTGAATATACAAAATGGGATAACATGCCCTATGTAAATAATTATAATGATCGCTAAAAGTAGTTAATAATTTAAAAAATTGTATGTACCAATATCGTCATTGTTTATCTATCGTGCTTTCAAAGCATAAAATGTAATTATTAACATATATCTGCACACTCTTCATCTTGCACAAACTAAATTATACACTAAAGTACATTTTAATATGACCAGCTAAATTACAACGCTCGCTTGCGTAGAGGTCTGAGGCCTTAGTAACTTTTGCCTTACGTTTCAACTAATCGAAACGAGACTGCGTTCGGGGCTCTGATTGGTTGGTTCATTGGAGCCGGCCAATTAGAACGCCTAATGCAGTCTCGTTATTACTTTAATCGTAAAACAAACTCGTACTAAGGTCTCTGAACTCAACATTTCGTTAATCACCCGCCGTTATACTTAAACTCATATCTGGGCCTAATACATATAAAAATTATTATAAGACAAAATTACAGTTTATATTAATGTCCCTTCATATTTATACTAAATCTCTCTGCTATTACTTGCCGTTCTTTGAGGTGGTTGTAATTATTCCAATTATTGTAAACTCTACGACACTGACCGGCCAAGACATTGTACTGTAATAAATAATACTCAGAGGCAGACTAGAAATAATGTGGAGAGTTTACAAAAGTGTACCCTCATCCAATTCAAAATACTTGCATGTGTGGATTGGTCGACACGACTCATCTAAATTTTATATAACAGTGACAAATAAAGGTGCAGCCTACATAACAAGCCTTTGGCAATAAATGGAATACTTACAAAAAGCATTGACAATAAAATAATTAATGCAATATCAAATGCCCCTTGTACTACGCGGTTTACAAATAGGTGATAATCGTCATACATAACCGATTGTGATAAGATTTATGAAGATATATACAATATAATTATATAGTTTTTAATATTTTAATTCGTTACAAGACCACAATGGCAAGCGAACCTCATATAACGAGAACAATAGTTAGCAATAGACATTTAGATGGTTGAAAGAAAGTTAGTCAATGATAGAGATCGATAGTAAAGTTATATCGACATTAGTCGCGTGGAGTTCTATTGTGTTGTAATTGTCCATGTATTACCTAGCTGTAATTATACATTTTTAATTATTGCTATACCAGCAACTAGTTATGGTATGAGAGAAGTTTATTGTTGCGTGCGTGTGGGAAACTTTTCTTATATTTATAATTATGTGTTCACAAAACCTAATTAATAGGTACCTCATCTAAAT